CCACAATATGATGAAATGTAGTTATATTATTGGAGAAATTAAGGTTTTCACTTATTTACAAGTTTATTATAGCTAAAATATGAGGTAATAAGAGGAAAGTTCTAAATAATTTTACTAAGATTACATGTAATTTAGGCAAGAACGAGTCAAGAATGGGACGGGTAGAGGCAGGTCAGGTCGATGAGAGATACCCATACCCGTCCCGCCCCAAAGCAGGTCAAACAGGTCGGGTAAAACGGGTCAGATCGAAATTGTCATCACCAGTTGTTATTGTATGAATAATTTCTCATTCTTGCTTAGGGTTTTGCTGATTGTGATGATGGCGGTCCTCCTTCTAGCTTCCCCGACGGCCACTGCCAGAAGTACTGATTCCACCATCCGTCCAACTGGTAATAAGAGAGCCTCCAGCCTTGTTTTCGTTTCTGAATTAATATATTAATGAAAGCTTGTATGTTCATGATCGTGATGATATTAATTCAACAGGGGAGGTATATGTTGGTGTTGGTGATCATGGCTACGGAGGTTTTTTCTCCGTAAGTTAAGCTCCGTGAGATTTAATGAGCCCAACCCGACCTGACGAACGGCTACGCTACCTTAATCATTGTGATCTATTTTTTTTTTTTTTGATTGAGAGGAGGCAGAAGCCAGAGAACCAGTTACAGAGAGCTCAAAGGGGAGGAGCAGATCACCTTCCAACAGGAAGAAAACATACTCAAATGCTCCCAAGCAAATCCTATCACAAGCCAAAAACCAAAACCAGTAAAACAGTCACTCATTTGAACCATCTATAATCACTTGCCGAGGGAAGCTGATCCCAATCATGTCTTCACGTAGAAGTCTCTCTAAATCTGTTGGTAGTTCATCTAATTCATACGTACCGAAGGGATAGACGAGACTGTGCTTCGAGAGCCAGTCCGCGACTCTATTCCCTTCGCGATATGTATGAACCAAACGAACAATCCAACTCTGAGCAAGCATTCTCCGAATAGAGTCTAAAAGGGTGGCATGAGGATGTACCGGGTCTGATCTTTTATTGATGAGCTCTATTGCCAGTTTCGAATCTGTTTCAAGTATCAGAAATTGTATTCCCTTCCTCCAAGCTAGTTCGAGTCCTTGGTGGATGCCCCATAGCTCTGACAGAATGGCAGATCCGGTTCCTATCTTGCAAACAAAACCCGCTATCCAATCTCCTTCACTATCTCTGAGGACTCCTCCTGCAGTAATAATTCCTGAATTCCCCTGAGCGGCGCCATCCGTATTTAGCTTGCTCCAACCTGGTTGTGGTGGAGACCAACCTATTAACTGCTCTTCCCTTGCTGGCTTAGTCAGTGAATCTCTTGTTTCCATAGCCTTCTTCCAAGTACTTATCCAGTCTTTCGCCTTCGATACAATGTAGTTAATGAGAGTATAGTTGGATAATCTGATTGCTTTAAAGATATAATCATTCCGATGTTTCCAGATGTACCAACTAACCAAAGCAAAGAAGCTGGCCCACTCCCCTGTCTCTCCACTGTTCTCGTTGCTCTCCAGATTTGTCTTCAACCAGTCTTCCTGGTTAGCTGAAAAGAACTGTTGCTGCTGTGTTATTGGTACAATTTTTTCCCAAACTCTTCTGATCTTGCTGCAGTCTCTCAAGCAGTGTAAGTTAGTTTCTATTTCTGTACCGCACAAGGCGCACTTGTCTTCCGAGGTGAGATGCCTGAACTTTCTAATGCTGTTCGTAGTCAACCTTCCCTTCGCTGCTGTCCACATGAAAAGGCGAACTCGTTCTGGTACTTGGAGGTGCCAGATCTTGCGCCATTGGAATGAGCTGTGGTTGTTTTGCTGTTGTTCTTCCAGCTTGTATGCCGATGAGGTGTTGAAAACTCCATTAGCTGAAGCTTTCCAAAAGAGCTTGTCTTCAGTTGTCGATAATGGATCCAGTTTTACTGCTCTGATTTTGTTCAACACCTCTATAGGGAGGAGTTGGTTCAAATCCTCCATCTTCCAGCCTGAGGATTCTGTCCAGTAGTCTGCAACCTTCTTCTGTCGTGTCTCCATCGGGATCTCTGTCGTAGCTTGGGCGAGTAAAGGTTCCTGCAAAACCCACGTATCCAACCAAAAATTAGTTTTTCTCCCATTCTTAACATTTTGAGCAGCTCCTTTTCGTAGGAGGTTTGCCGTTTGGGCAAAACTTTTCCAAGCATGAGAACTTCCCTTTGATTTTGCTAGCATCTGCAAATCTCTCTTGCCGCGCCCGTATTTCTTTCTCAAGACCTCGACCCATAAAGATTGATCGTCTGTTATGAGTTTCCATGCTCCCTTTGCCAACATGGCTTGATTGGTTCTTCTTGTAGGGCGGATTCCAAGACCTCCTTGATGCCGAGGTTGGGTTAAATGCTCCCACGCCACCGAGTGAAGCTTTGTCTTGTCTTCTTCTTCTCCCCAAATGAAACTTCTATTACACCTGTCTATCGATTTGCATACACCAACAGGAAGAAGTTCAGAAAACATGGGGTATATAGCAATGTTAGAAGTTACTGCTTTCACCATAGTAACTCTAGCTGCCATTGAGAGATGTCTTGTTTTCCACGCCGCTAGTTTGTTCTGAATTTTGAGCAGGAGTTCCTTGTAGCGGGCCTTGGTTATCCTGCCGTTTATTGCAGTGATTCCTAGATATCTTCCCAGGTCCGCCGTAAGGTTGATTCCTGCTCGGGAGCTAAGTCTGGCAGCTTTATCTCGTCGAACATTTGGTGAGACGAACATTGCCGACTTGCTATGATTAACCCGTTGTCCGGAGCTGCTGCAGAAGTCGTCAAGGCACCTCTTGATGATGTCGATTTGACTCCCTTCAGCTTCTGCAAATAAAACAAGGTCATCAGCGAAAAATAAATGGGACAACTTTGGACCATTTTTTGAGAGTTGTAATGGTTTCCAAAGTTTTGCCTCGACTGCTTGTTCAATTTTATGGGCCAATCTTTCCATGCAAAGAATAAAAAGGAAGGGTGATAGGGGATCTCCCTGTCTAACTCCTCTGGAGGGGATAATTGGATTCGAGAGTTGCCCGTTCCAGCTGATTCGCATCTTGTTTCTTTCCACACAAGTCATGATTCTGCTGATGAGAGAGCTGGCCAGCCCGACCTCCTTAAGCGTATCTCTGATAAAGTCCCACCGGAGTCTATCGTAGGCCTTTTCAAGGTCGATTTTTATAACCAAGCCTCCCTTCTTCCCTTTCCTCCTTCGGAGAGTGTGAAGGGTTTCTTGAAGAAGAAGTATGTTGTCATTTGCCTGCCTACCCTGAATGAAACCGCTCTGAGTGGGAGCAACGATTTTTGGCATCAAAGGCTTTAATCTATTGGTAATTGCCTTAGTAATTGCCTTGAGGGCGACATTATTCAGGCATATAGGTCTGAATTGAGCAGGAGACTCAGGCTGTTCCATTTTAGGGATAAGAACGATTGTCGAATCCAAAGTCTCTGTTGGAATCTCGCCTATTTCAAAGTAGCTTGAAGCCATATCCGCCAGGTTTTTCCCCACTATTGGCCAGAATTTTTGATAGAAGATGGCTTGGTAACCATCCGGACCTGGAGCTGAATAAGGTTTCATATCATGGATTGCTTTGTGGATGTCAGAAATATGGTAGGGACGATGTAAAGCCATGCTATCTTCTTGCTGCAGCCTGGGAAAAACGTTTTTGGGCATGAGGTCCTCATACTGATCCCCATCTTCCGTATAGAGAGTGGTGTAGAAATTCAGAACCATGTTGAGGAGAGATTCTTGATCATCTATCCAGTCTCCATTTGCATTCCTGAGAGCTAAAATTTTGTTTCTTCTTTTACGTCTAGTGGCTTGATGGTGGAAGTAGGATGTATTTTGTTCCCCCAGAGTCGCCCATTTCTCTTTGGCACGCTGAAACCAGACAATTTCTTCTTGTGCTAGTACCCAGTCAAGCTCTCCTTCCAGCTTAAGTTGAAGCTTCAACAGTCCAGGATTGAAGGAAACTGCTAACCGGTCTGTGATACCCTTCAATCTAGCCAACAATCTCCTTTTCTTCCTGTTAACAGAACCGAACACTTCTTTACTCCACTGCTGTAATTTAGGGGTAACTTCCTTCAAGGCTTGCTGTAGAGGTATTTCTTTATTCCAATTAGCAGCTAAAAAATCCTTGAATTTGTTGTCCGTCAACCACACAGCCTCAAACTTGAAATTATCCCGGTTTCCATAATCTGTGTTGTGTTGGTTGCCCACTGACGTTAGCAAGGGCAAGTGATCCGAGTGGAATTTGGGGAGATGTTGAACCGAAGAGTTGGGAAAAGTCGAATTCCAGGCCACATTGCATAGTGATCTATCTATTCGACTAGCTTTCCTGGTAGCCTGCGTTTCTCCCCTGTACCAGGTAAATCTAGGTCCGGAGTATCCTAGATCAATTAATTCAGCTTGATTTATCCACGAACAGAACCGCTGACATCTTCGTAGGGAAGCTGGAGAGTTGGCACCCAGCTTTTCTTCCGGTAGACAGTAGGCATTGAAGTCTCCCGTTACTAGCCACGGAATATTTGTATCTTTGCTAGTCTGAATGAGGTGATCCCACATTAAAGATTGAAACCGGTATTGGGGGCTGCCATATACACCGGTAAGAAGCCATTGTTGCTTACTCAGAGAATCAATTTTGACTGTGATATGTTGTTTGCTCGCATCAACCAAGTCAACCATGAATTTGGAGCTTTTCCATGCAATCCAAATACCACCTGTTCTCCCTTCTGCGTCTATTCTCAAGACTTCGTCAAAGCCCAGCTTGTTACAAACCGAGTCTGCCTTATCGCCACTAATTTGTGGCTCCAACAGAATCAACAAATCTGGTTTGTGTGTTTCACTGAGAAGTCTGATAGCCCGGATGAACTTCCTGCTACCTGCTCCACACACATTCCAAGAAAGTATTTTGAAATTAATATGAGTAGACATAGAAAACTGGATAAAAAAAAAAGGAACAAAAGACAAAACTCAAAAAGCAGGGAAAGGGATCAAGAGGTGGTGGGGCTGGCGAGTTCTGTCGCCGCGAGTCCTTGGTCCTCCATTTGATTTTCGTTTGCCGTCGAGGGTGAAGAAGTCTCCGCCATGGGGACATCCTCTTGATTCGTTTGGGTCATTTGATGATTGTTCTTCATCTTACGCTGAGCTTGCGAGCAAAACTCTTCGATAGACTGCATCGTAATCGGACCGCTCACATGTTTGGCTTTCTGCGGTGTCTCTTGCTGTTTAGCACTTCTGATTTGGAGTGGCTTCTTGGCCGCCTTGACATTGATTCCTCTTGGTTTCTCTTGCTTTCCAGTTTCGTTTTTCTTCCTTTGGTAGTGTTGGCGGATAGAAGATATTGTAGTATTGGGGTTGGTGTTTTCTTTGCCTGGGAGAACCAGTTCTGGAACTGAGATAACTCGAATAGTAGTCCCTTGTTGACCCTGTGTTCTTTCGGTGACGGAAATCTGTTTGGAGCCCGATGTTGAAGGTTCTGATCCTAGTGTCATTGGGCTAGCCTCAATCTGTTGTGCTGGTCTGTTCTGTGTCGCCTCTCTCGTACCAATGGGCCTCCATTCTTTTAGAGGTTGGGCCTTTTTTGTACCGTTAAGTATGTCATCATCTTTTGGTATGTCTTGTTTCTGATTTGTAGAGCTTCCTTTTTTGTTGTGCAAGGTTTGTTCTGCTTTTCCTTTTTTCTCTCTGATTCCTTTTCCTGTTGGTTCTTCTCCCTTTCCTTTTGCAGACCCGTATCCCTTGCCAGAATCTGCTCGATTTTGACTTGGCTGTCCTCGATTTTGGTTGTTCACCTCATTCGCTTTCCTAATCTGTTTCCTTGATTTTCGCGTGACTTGCATCCAGGGCCCAAATCCCTCCGGCAGATCTTGTGAGCTCGTCGCCGGTGAAGCTAGTTTTCTAGAATCCGGCGAGGTCACCATAGTCGCGTGCTGGTTGATTTTAGGGCAGGAATCTTCTTGGTGCCCAATCTGCCCACACTCATAGCAGATAGTGGGGAGATTCTCGTACATGACCTGCTGCCAAAAGTTATCTAGCCAGATTTTTGTGGGCAATGGCTTCGTCATATCTAACTCGATAGCAATACGAGCAAATTTACCTCTTTCTAGTTTCTCAGTGTGATAGTCGAGTTTGATTGTGCGTCCGATGAGGTTTCCCAAAGCAAAGAGAATTTCTCTGTGATAAAAGTGCACTGGAAGCTCTGGCAATTGTACCCACGCTACCACTGATCTGTGAGGTTTGTCGGAGGTGCGGAAGGTTGGAGACCATTGATGAACAATCAAATAGTGATCCAGGATGACCCACGGTCCACCTGTGAGTGCCCTTAGATAGTCTTGGTCGTTTCCAAAAGTTGCTAAGAAAGTTTCGTTGTTAAGATCCATGACATCTAGAGATCCCACCGGTCTCCAGTTCCACCGCAATTGTGAAACAAGGTGCGAGTATGAGACTGACCTGCCTAGGAGTCGAACTATCAGTGTCTTTTTCCAAGGTTGACACAGCCGTTCCTTTAGCGCCGGGGAGATTTTCAAGGCTGGCGCTCCTTGGAACGTGGATGTCTCTAGGTCGTGGTCTCCAATGAAGGTCCATTGAGCCGTTCTGGATGGATTTGTTGAGGGTGTCCCCGCCAGCGCTGCTTTGAAATTCAGTATTGGAGGGCTGGAGATCTGAAGTTGCTGTTGATTCTTGGGTTGATCAGGAGGATCTGGCGGCCTGTCTGACGAAGTCAGTTCCTTCGCCGAAGAAGGTTCCTGAGCGACCGCGGTTGAGAGCATTTCAGATGAGTTCCTCACCTATCATTGTGATCTATTCGTATGCATTTTCTCTTCTCTTTAGATGCCAATATTAATGCAGCCTTGCACTTTATTGTTTACTATCAGTCAACTAAATCTGACTGTAAGTTTTTTTTTATTGTAATAGACGGAGCATTACGACGCTCCAACCTAATTATTCAACGAGGAATTTTACAATGCTATATAGTATTGGTGCTATAGTTTTTTTTCTTTTATGGTACAATATGAAATTGTACCTTTAACGTTATGGTACAACTTCAGATTGGGGACCGGTTATTGTAACAACACCCTTTGTGTTGTTATTATAACAACACTAGTCCCCAACCAATAGGAAGCTAGGATTGTGATTACTTTTTATTAGATGAGTTGACCTAGTGTAAAATCAAAGCAGGGGTATGATTGTCATTATGAAAAATCTGTTTAAATAATAAAAAATAAAAAAATAAAAAAAAATATTTTTTAATTTTCTGCCCAAAAATTTGGTCGTCGGAATTCGGTCACCGGTCGCCGGAATCTGGTCGCCGGTCACCGGAATATGCTTTTTTGTCGCCGGAATATGCTATTTTGTCATCGGAATATGCTCACCGTCGCCGGAATATGCTTACCGGCGTCGGAATATGCTTACCGGCATCGGAATCTAGTCACCGAGGCCGGAATATGCTTATCGGCGCCGGAATCCGGTCACTGACGTTCATCGGAGTTTGGTCAACGGTCTTCGTTGATCTGTCAACGGTCAACGACCACCGGATGTATGGTCTACATTGTGAGATTTATGGTTTGGTTTCTCACATTTTTGTATGCCTTTTGTGGTTTGCTTTATCGCGTTTGTGGTTTGCATTACGAAGTTCCTGGTTTGCTTTATCGTGTTTGTGGTTTGCATTGAGAAGTTTCTGGTTTGCTTTCAAAAATTTTGTGGTTTGCATTGTGGGGTTTTTGGTTTGTTTTAGGAGATTTGTGGTATGCATTAGGAGGTTTCTGGTTTGTTTTTGTGGTTTGCTTTAACGTGTTTGTGGTTTGCATTATGAGGTTTTTGGTGTGTTTTTGAAAATTATGTGGTTTGCTTTGTGAGGTTTCTGGTTTGCTTTAATATATTTTTGGTCTGCATTATGACGTTTCTGGTTTGCATTAAGAAGTTTCTGGTGTGCTTTCGAAACTTTTGTGGTTTGCTTTGCGAGGTTTCTGGTTTGTTTTAGGAGATTTGTGGTATGCATTAGGAGGTTTCTGGTTTGCATTAAGAAGTTTCTGGTTTGTTTTATCGCATTTGTGGTTTGCATTAGGAGCTTTTTGGTGTGTTTTAGAAATAGTTGTGGTTTGCTTTGTGATGTTTCTAGTATGTTTTAGGCAATTTATAGTCTGCATTGGGAGGTTTCTGATATGCTTTCTAAATAATTGTGGTATGCTTTTGTGATATTTGTAGTATGTTTTATAAGATTTATGATGTGCATTCCAAGACTTTTGATGTGCTTTAAAGTGAACTTGAAACTACTCGAACTTGTAAAAATATGCCAACACTTTCAACGTCGACATTCAAAAATCCTCCAATGTCGACATTCAAAAATCTCAGTGACAGCAATCAAACACTCAACATAAATCTCATTTCACTAGAATCAATGGCAAGATTCAATCAAAATAAATGGCAAATCAAGACATATAATTGGGATGGCATAGAGCTAGAAGAGAACGAATGAGAAAAGAGCTGGGCAAATCGAGACATATAATTGAGATGGAATAGAGTTAGAAGAGAACAAAGGGACATGTTTTAGAGCTGCAGTAGGTCCCTGGTTCAAATAATTAAAACTCCAAACCCATGATGTCCCTAGTTGAATAACATGTTTCGTCTCCACCATGCGCACAAGGCCTCCACCATGCGCACGAGAGCAGGAGAACAGAGAAGATCTCGTTGCGGTTAAGTGCGACAGCAAAGGAGGTAACGGCGAGTGCGACACAGGGTTCCTCACCCAGATCCAACTTTCCCCAACAACGAGTTCCCGTCATCACTTCTGCAGCCACCGTCACTGCGAACACAATCCGCCATTTTCTTGTAAGAAGGATTAGTGTCCGACATTTTCTCGACTTGCTCCTACAAATACAACACACACAATCGAAAACATCATCTCGAGCATACATAACAGTAACGATAGATAACAGAATCAAGACAACAAAGAAAGAAATGAAAAAGGAGTGGGGACAAGGAAAAAGAAGTACCTCAAGAACACGCTGGTTGGCACTAGGGCTGGAAACACAGGGAATTGAGAGCTTCAAGCGGCCCCTCGCTTATTGAAACACAAACCCCAGGGCGGGTAAACAAGAGTGAGAGAAAAGAATCAACAATTTCCTTTAGGCATTCATTTATCATATCGAATTCAGAAATCGGACATGCCTGATTGAGAGCTCCACCGGCGGGATTGGCACTGGCGCAGTAGGATGGGTGTTTGATGAAACTCAATCTAAGAACCACACAAAAGAAGCAGAGGTGGCGGAGAAGAAGCAGGTGCGGCGAAGGACGAAGCGTGGCGGAGTAGAAACGTCGCCATTGCGGGGTGGTCGGAAGGCAGGCCGTCGGAGATGCTCTCCCGATGCCCAGCTGCCGTATCGTCGATGGATGAAAGGAAGAAGATAAATTGAGATCTGGATGGGATGCAGGGATGAGACGGAGAAATTTGATTCATTATTTTTTAATTTCATTTAATTTAATTGAGTTTACTTGTAAGTTTACTCTTATACCCTTGTTGTTACAGTAACAACAAAAGGGCTGTTGTTATTCTATCCGTTCTCCTTTAGATTGTACCTATACATTTTGTACAAATTCTTTTATGGTACAACTTGAACTTGTACTTTTATTTGATGGTACAACTTCAAGTTGTAAAGTTGTACCATAACATAATGATACAAATTCTTTCATGGTACAACCTAAACTTATACATTTAATGTTATGGTACAACTTTAAGTTGTACATTAAAGCACCGATGCTATATAGCATAGTAGAAGTGCTCTTATTCAACACAAAATGAGGAGTTTGCACCCCGACAAATCAAAGTACAGTTAATAGTTTAGTTTCAAACAATGATGTGATATCACATCCTCGCCCAACTCACACTCACGGCCTAAAGAAGTAAGGAAATCCACTACTGTATTGCCTTCTTTAAAGATATGTTTCGTAGTCACCTGCCAATCCTTCTCAAGTAGGCTTCTTATCCGTGACTTAATAGTGTAATGCGGGTGTTGCGCCGTTGTAGTCTGGATGAGCTCGATGGTTGTGTTGGAGTCAGTTTGAACTTCGAGCTTCCTTATCCCCTCGTCCCAAAGCACGCTGTAAGCCCATGGCGATCCCCATCAACTGATCTGCTCTCGTTATTGATCCATCGCCTAGATTAGCTGTAAATGCTTGCACGAGGCAACCATCATCTCCTCGAATAACTCCGCCTGTCGCTACGCTACCAAAGTCGGTAAGTACTGATCCATCTATATTTGAATATATAGAACCATCCATGCAACGAAGTTGTCTATGTCACCATCTCCAGCCGTCGAGTCCTCCTTTCCGTCAGGACTTTGTCCTCCTTCTCCGGGCCCATACGGATTTGATGATGAAGACGTAAGTCCCCTTGCTAGAGCCCAGATGTTTCACCATGCTTTTTCTCGAAGACATAAGCATTCATATTCTTTCATAATAACCAACACACAACTGCAAACAAGGAGGCATCAATCTTCAAGCTCCTACATGCAAGATAATGACAGATCCAACGTTCCATGCTTCTTTGGAAAAATACTCCATCATGTAGGACCACACTTCCCTTGCAAATTAAAGGGATAGTCCCTATTAACATGTAGTACTATACTATTTCCAACCCATCTCTACAGTCGTTGCCTCTCCGCATTAGTTAGAAGCCGGTGATGGGCTAGAAACCAGAAAAAGTTAGGATACTTTATGTCGTCGGTAGTCGCTAGAACTTCATCTTCCTCAACGGATGCCATAAATCTCCAGATTGTCGATAGATAAATGGGACGTTCCAGTCTCCGTTGAGAACCTGCTCCAAAACAGTTAAACCATCAATCGGAGTGATCCTCATAGTCATAGGGTGAATATTGCGGTGCATCTGGATCGCTACTATCCTCCAAAGAGGTTGGTTCACCAAGTTATAGTGAATCTGGATCAATTTTTTCTGTCGAAGAGGCTGGCTTACTGATGTCCAAATCTGGGTCGCTCCTGTCAGTAAGGGAGCGTGGCTCGCTGTCTTCTGACCCACTATCGCTGCTTAGCCAAACTAAATCAAGATCATCTTCTTCAAGAGGGTCATTCTCCCTCTCAATATCACAAGCTCCAATTCTTGAAGAACATCGTTCACCATTAGAAACATAATGGGGTGATGGTTTGAAAGGATGAGAGATTGGTCCCAAGGTTAGTAAGGAGACAAGTTATCAGGGCTGCAAAGGGTATAGGGCATTGTAGTTGAAGCCTCCAAAGGGCATCAAGGTTCCAATGAGAAGATGGGTAAAATCAAGTAGAATGGAGGCTAGTGCGTGAAAGAGAATCCAAAGATTTAAAGGTAGGATCATATACTAGAAGAGTGATCTAGGGAAGAAGGTGTGAGTGAGGAAATAGTGGAATACTCCTAGACTTAGTGGAAGCTGGAACCATGAGAAGCTCATTAGGAGGTTGACCAATAAGTTGAATGGCCTCATGATCAATGTCAAACCCATAGGCTTGTAGTTTAGAGTCATGAGCTAAGATATCTCCTTCAGGGATGTTCAGAAGACGATGTAGTTCAAAAACTGGGATTGTAATCATATATCCACATACAAGAATAGTGAAAGTGCGAGTAGGGAGGGCAAATATGGTGGACTCCCCCGATCGATGAGCCCTCTTTTAGGTACTCTTAGAGCTAAGAATGGAATAAAAATACCTCACAGTCTCATGACAAATTAAAGTGGGAGGCTCATGTCCCAACCAAGGTTGTGAAGGTAGGACTAGATGTCGATTTCGTGGTAGACCAAGTCATGCAAAGGTATTTGATGGTATGGAGTTATCTATCAAGTGGAGTATGATTTATCATGACGATGAGTATCTAGGGGATTAGGATCTAAGAGAAGAGCTCATATGAGAGGTGTAGGTGAGTTCTAGAATGAATTCGAAGTGGAGAGGTTGTAGGTGAGCTTGCACTTAATGCTGATTCAGAGAATTTTTCATATAGGGGATGGATGAATCAGTCACGAACTTAGGAATGGAGGGATTTTGCTTGTTCCGACATCAATTTTGGAAAGAGATGAATCCATTAATGATTGATTGATGATATATAGCTTTAAGATATATGATTTAAGATTGGCGATGGATTAGGAAAGAAAAGATTTATTCATAGAAGGTAAGAGTTCTAAACTAAGAATGTTAGACATAGCTAGCTAACCTAGATATGCCATAATGGCAGACATGACCTATACTCAATCTTTAGTGTTTCCTCTTCACAAGTTGTGCTCTCTTGATCCTCTATTCAAGTTGATTTTAACCTCTTAAGAGATCTCTGCTATTATGAGCTATGAGACGTCTAAGCTTTCCTAACCTGTTTGTGTAGCTCCGACTGATGATCGAGGTTTCGCATGTGCTGATAGGCATCTATCTAATCTAGGAACTTATATACAGGATCAATCGAGTGTTACGAACCAAGGTGATGTGGAAATCTTGAACGATGTAAACGCACACTAGGTTAACAAAAAATCAAACAAATCTAGTAGATATAAAAAATAAAGATTTTATCATATCAAAGAGATTCAGCCCAATAGTGCTGGAACTTTTTTGTATGCTTGAAGACAAGAATGTTTACTATTATTTTTATAATCATTATGATTATAACTTGTGCACATTGCTTGATCATATTAAAGACCACCCGGAAAAAGATATACATCTCAGACACTTGTTGAAATATAAAATATTTTTATATTCTTTTAATGCTTTTCTTTTCTTTAGATATTTATCTAATTTTTCTATTTTATTCAGTTAAATAGAAGAGAAACATTTTTTGCTGTTTAAGATCTTCATTATAGGCAGAAAGAATGTCACTCTAATAAGTTATCAAGAAAGATAACGCTTCATGCACCATCCTCATCATTCTAGGCTGATATGGAGATCGTGAAGAATGTAAACTTGCAGTATGTTAGCAAAAAATCAAACAAATCTATTAGATATACAAAATAATGGTTGTATAAGAACAAATATATGCAGCACATTAGTATTAGATCTCGAAGACAAGAATGTTTAGTGTTATGTTTAAAATTATTGTTTACGTTTCATGCACCATCCTCATCATTCTTGGCTGATATAAAGATTTTGAAGAATGTAAACGTGCGACAGGTTAGCAAAAAATCAAACAAATCTAGTAGATATGGAAATTAAAGGTTTTATGAGAACAAAGGGATGCAGCCCATTAGTGTTGGAGCCTTTCTATAGTCTCAAAGACAAAAATGTATACTGTTTGAGCCCGGGCGACTGGGAGTCACTCGGATCCAAGGGGTTTGGGGTGTCAGCCATGACTTTGAGGGGGTAGGCGCCCCACCTCAGTAGAAGTGAGAAAAGAGAAGAAGTATATAGAGAGAGAAAGTAGAGAGAAGTAATAGTAAGAGTAGATAGATTGCCATTTATGAGGAGAGAACTCCTATTTATACACATTTGAGGGTTAGGTAGTGGTCTGGGCGCCTGCCAAGCCATAAATGCTGTGGTCGGGCGCCTCAGACCTTCTGACACTGTACATGGTACTTTTTGACAGAGGGTGTCCCCCTGCCCCTTGTCCTTGCTGATGTCAGGTGCCTGGCCTTGTCTTTTGTCTCCTTGCCTTGTCCTTTTGCTCTTTTGTCTTCTTTCCTTCTTTATACCATTAGCTAGAGTTTTGCCTCCTTAGTTACTAGGATACTCTATCAATTGCCCCTTTGATGTCGGTATGAGTATCATGGCGGCGTCAACATAAAGTGAGTTTCACTAACCTTGCTTTCTCGTCTTCACAATCAAGTGCCAGCTCTCTTTCTTTAGTTAATCGGCACCAGGCTCTTCCTTTCAAGTGGGTGCTTCATTCCCTTATTGATCTTCTGATCTGTTGAGCGCTTGTGCACCCGTGTGGGTGTGCTTGCTTCCAAATAAGGTGTAGTAAAATGAGGAAGAATAAACACATGTCTCAAGTAACGGAGACTATCAAAAGAAGCAATCATGCCCCTTTTATCAAGCGCCTGACGCTTGCATTCTTCCGTTCTTCATCAATTATTTCCTAAGTGACTACTCTTTCATCTTAGAGGATGTGCCTACGCTCGTGTTAGAGTATTCAATCTATCTTGACAATCAAATGAAGTTGAAACAAACTTGTCAGTTTTCCTTTGATTGTGCCTTGCCCATTTGAAACGAGCGCCTAGCGCTCTTTTCCAATTTTTTTTTTCTTTTTGCCAAAAGATACCACTGATATTCAAATGCTTTCCATTCATTGTCTAAGATGCTCCATTTTTCTTTCGATTGCTTGTGCTCTTTTAGAAGAGTGCTTGCTTCGATTCTTTGGCTAAGCACTGGTCACCCAGCTTGTCGTTAGTTTCCCTAAGACCCAAACTCAACGAGGTGTTTGGCGACTCGCTTCTTTGCCGATGTGTCTGACCTTCAGTTGGGCGCCTGACATTTTACTCCTTAGCGAGGTGTCTGACCTTCAGTGGGGTGCCTGGCGCCTCACTCCTTCGCTTATGTCTTTGGTAAGCATTTGTCACACAGCTTGTCGTTTGTTGCCTTAAGACCCAAAGTCAACGAGGTGCCTGGGGACTTGCTCATTTGCCGAGGTGCCTGACCTGACACCACACTCCTTCAGCGATGTGCCTAACCTTGAGTGGGCGCCTGACACCTCACTCCTTCAGCCAGGCACCTAACCTTGAGTGGGGCGCCTGGCACCTCACTCCTTCAGCCAGGCGCTTTCAGCCAGGCGCCTAACCTTGAGTGGGGCACATGGTGACTTGCTCATTTGCCGAGGTGCCTGACCTTCAGTTGGGCACTTAGCACCTCACTCCTTCAGCGAGGCGCCTAGCACCACACTCCTTCAGCGAGGTGCCTAACCTTCAGTGGGGCGCCTGGCCCCTCTCTCCTTTAGCAAGGCGCCTAACCGTGAGTGGGGCACATGGAGACGCTCCTTTGCCGAGGTGTCTGACCTTCGGTTGAGCGCCTAACACCTCACTCTTTTAGCGAGGTGTCTGACCTTCAGTGGGGGGCCTGGCTTCTCATTCCTTCGTCTATGTATGATACTAACAACTTAGAACCTTACTCTTGTAAGTCTAACATTACTTGCTTTGGTTTATTTGAGCGTACAGGCGCTTCAATGAGGTGTCTGGAGACTCGCTCCTTTGTAAGGCACCCCTTTGTCGGGGTGTCTGACCTTTGGTAAGGCGCCTGACACCTCACTCCTTCAGCGAAGTGCTTGACCTTTAGTGGTAGGATGTCTGGCACCCCCACTTCTTTGCTTGTTTTTCTTTTTCAAACTTGTTTTAAAACGAGGATAGGCTAATGGGTGAACGCCCAATCACCCCTTGTGAGACTTTTTCAATGTCAAGCTCTTCCACGCATCGAGGTGAGTTTCGCCACTTTTTTCGGTCGGAGGCGCCACCTCCCTTTTTTTAGGCGCTTTGGTTTCTGAAACGGATGAAGACAGATCTGATTTGGCTGCTCCGTTCCAATTGGGGGCGCCTCCTTCCTTACTTTTCGCTAGGCGCCTTTGCTTCTTGTTAAACGGTAGATACCTTTCGCCTTCTTTCTCCTTTGGCGCTCCCCCCTTGAAGGCTCTCATCGACGCCTTTCGCTTTGACCACTTCTGTCGGGAGCCTCACTCCGTAGATTAGGTACGTTTTAACTCGGCTATTCGAAGGGGAACATTCGCTCTTTCTTTTGTTTGAAACAGAGGCGCCTCCGAATGTCGGGCTCAATCATACTGCTAAGTAGTTTTCCGCTGAAGATGCCGCCTGCTCTCCCCTGCTGGCAGGCGCCTCCCCTTCTTCCTTCTCTTGGCGCTTTTGTTTCTAACTGTTTCTGCTTCCTTTGCAAAAGTTACCTCTCCATAATTGTTATTTGTTGGGAGTTTCCCCTTCCAGCTCGTTAGGTGCTTTTGAGACGCATCAACAAGTAAGCGCCGCCCTTCGTTATTGCTAGGCGTTTTTTCAATTGAAGGCGCCGCCTTCTAGTTTTCTCATCTTACTGCTTTTGCAGGTGTTACCGAGAGCTCCCCTCTGATCCTTTAGGCGCTCTTGCCTACCAACATAGGTAGGCTTTGCCCCTCGTATTTTCGAACGCCATTCCTTGGATTTTGCTAAGCTCCTTACCTTGTTTATCGCTCTATGATACTTGCACCTGTTTATAATGCAGGTTCAGCCTCAAGGCGTCATAAGGCACCCGTTTTTCTTACGCGTAGCCTCTTTGAAAAGAGGTGATGCGTTTTGGTTTCTCCTCAACGGAGGAAGCGAGTCTGGGTGACCCCTTCTGACAAGGCAGGGAATTTCGCGAGGGATATGGCCAAGGCACCACCTCTCATGGGGACTCGTAAAACGAGCTCCCTACGCTCGGATGAAGATCCGGGCGTAAGCACTAAGGTTCTTCCGCTGGTTGCGGGTAAAAGGTTTTGCTAAGATTACTATCTTAAGCAAAACTTGATTTTTCTTACGTGTACCCCTGAGAAGGAGGTGACACGCTTAGGCTTCTCCTCGACGGAGGAAGCGGGTCTGGGTAACCCCTTCTGGCAAGGCAAGAATTTTGCGAGGGATATGGCCAAGGCGCCACCTCTCATGGGGACTCGTAAAACGAGCGCCCGACGCTCGGATGAAGATCTAAGCGTAAGCACTAAGGCTCTTCCGCTGGTTGCGGGTTAAAGGTTTTGTTAAGATGACTATCTTAAGCAAAACTTGATTTTTCTTACGTGTACCTCTGAGAAGGTGGTAACACGCTTAGGCTTCTCCTCGACGGAGGAAGCGGGTCTGGGTGACCCCTTCTGACAAGGCAGGGATTTTGCAAGGGATATGGCCAAGGCGCCACCTCTCATGGGGACTCGTAAAATGAGCGCCCGACGCTCGGATGAAGATCTGAGCGTAAGCACTACGGCTCTTCCGCTGGTTGCGGGTAAAAGGTTTTGTTAAGATGACTATCTTAAGCAAAATTTGATTTTTCTTACGTGACCCCTTCTGACAAGGCAGGGATTTTGTGAGGGATATGGCCAAGGCGCCACCTCTCATGGGGACTCGTAAAACGAGCGCCCGACGCTTGGATGAAGATCTGAGCGTAAGCACTACGGCTCTTCCGCTGGTTGAGGGTAAAAGGTTTTGTTAAGATGACTATCTTAAGCAAAACTTGATTTTTCTTACGTGTACCCCTGAGAAGGTGGTAACACGCTTAGGCTTCTCCTCGACGGAGGAAGCTGGTATGGGTGACCCCTTTTGACAAGGCAGGGATTTTGCAAGGGATATGGCCAAGGCGCCACCTCTCATGGGGACTCGTAAAACGAGCGCCCGACGCTCGGATGAAGATCTGAGCGTAAGCACTATGGCTCTTCCGCTGGTTGCGGGTAAGGTTTTGTTAAGATGACTATCTTAAGCAAAACTTGATTTTTCTTACGTGTACCCCTGAGAAGGTGGTAACACGCTTAGGCTTCTCCTCGACGGAGGAAGCGAGTCTGGGGTGACTCCATCTGTTAAAACAGGGATAGCTTTGCATTGTCGAGTAGTGAATATCCGTTCCTTGAGCAAAATAGGGAATTACATGGGGTATCGCCAGGGCGCGTCCCTTTCCCCGAAAATTCCTAACATTACCAACCTAAACTGAATAAAAGGACTCCTCCTAGCACGCTTTTGCCTCTCTTAGGGTGTCTTTGGGTTACGCCTACTTAAAGGGCGGCCCTCCCCCTACAAAAATTCCAGGGCGCTTCTTTCTTCCGAGGCGCCGTAAATGAGTCGGGCGTACTTCTCCAGGTAGACATCGTCATCAGCTTCGATTGCGTCCTCGTTGGGTGAGGCGCCCACACCCTCCCGTGGGGAGTTCATGGGTAGCACCTCAACCTCTTGCATCTTTCCTCGGAGGCGCCTCCTCTCCTCTGTGGCTTTTTGGGGATTGGGAGGCGCGTGATTGTTTGCCTTTGTTAGTGCTGACAACGCGGTCATGACTTGATCCAGTTGGCCTTGCGTGCTGGCCATTTGAAGTGCTTGCTTTTCCCGAAGCTTCGCTAGTTGGCCCTCCAGGCGCTCTGTGTCTTCTCCCTCTCCTGATGGATCGTCGTCATCGGATGCTTCCAAACTTTGGATGGTGAGTGGTTGAGGGTTGATCGCTTCTCGACTAACGACTTGCTTGATAGGGGTCTTCGTTGGTGCCGGACTCCTTTCTTCCCCCTTCTTTGAGTTGGAAGCGTCTTTCAAAGTCATGCTTGGCCCCACGGTGGGCGCCAATTGTTTGAGCCCGGGGCGACTGGGAGTCACTCGGATCCAAGGGGTTTGGGGCGTCAGCCATGACTTTGAGGGGGTAGGCGCCCCACCTCAGTAGAAGTGAGAAAAGAGAAGAAGTATATAGAGAGAGAAAGTAGAGAGAAGTAATAGTAAGAGTAGATAGATTGTCATTTATGAGGAGAGAACTCCTATTTATACACATTTGAGGGTTAGGTAGTGGTCTGGGCGCCTGCCAAGCCATAAATGCTGTGGTCGGGCGCCTCAGACCTTCTGACACTGTACATGGTACTTTTTGACAGAGGGTGTCCCCCTGCCCCTTGTCCTTGCTGATGTCAGGTGCCTGGCCTTGTCTTTTGTCTCCTTGCCTTGTCCTTTTGCTCTTTTGTCTTCTTTCCTTCTTTATACCATTAGCTAGAGTTTTGCCTCCTTAGTTACTAGGATACTCTATCATATACTATTATGTTTTAATTATTATGATAAATGTGTCATGCACATTTCATGCACCATCCTCGTCATTATTGATTGATGTGGAAATTTTGAAAAATGTAAATGCGCGACAGGTTAGCAAAAATCAAACAAATCTAGTAGATATGGAAATTAAAGGTTTAATGAGAACAAATGGATGCAGCTCATTAGTGTTGCAGTCTTTTTATAGACCGAAGACAAGAATATTTTCTATTTTGTTTATAATCATTTTGATTATAACATGCGCACATTCCTTGATCCCATTAAAGACCATTCGGATAAAGATATACATCTAAACTGCTTACTGAGGTATAAATCTATTCATATATCTTTTTAGATTCATTTTTATTAAAATATTTATATAATTTCTCTATTTTATTTCTGAATCGCTAAATGTCGCCCTAAGAATTGCTAAACGTCGCCCTAACTTAAATGTCATATTACCTATATACCCTTAATGAAAATTGAAAAAATAGGACAACCAAATAACCCTTTACCTTTCCCTCGGTGGCAGCAGACGAATCCAAACCTTCCACCGGCGAACCCCTCCCCCTCTGCCTCTGCTTCCGCCGCTCTCCACTCTTTTCGCCGGCGATCCCCTCCCCCTCTGCTGTTCCCGTCGCCGGTCGTTGCCACTCGTGTCGCTCACGTCGCCGGCGCCCTTTACCTGTCGCGCGCTCGCCGCCGCCGGAGAAGAAGACGGTGTCGCGCTCCACAGTCGCGCAGGAGAAGAAGAAGGTAAAAAAAAAATCGACCGTCGGTCAGACGGCGGTTTGACTGCGGTCGAAATTTTTTTTTTTAATTCTGTTTTTAAATAAATGTTAATAATGATTACATAGAACGTAACATAAATGTTCAAACTATTAATTTTATAATTTTAATTATGGAAATCTTTAATTAATTACTTTATGTACTCTATTATTAATAATCCATTATTAATAATTCAAACTTTTTTTTGAAGATGTCTGGACATGGAGTGGGTAAACCGGATATGATTAAGGCGAGAAATAAGGAGAGAATGGAAGGTCGTGCTTGTAGACTTACGGCGACTGGTAGGAAGGAAAATGAAGAAAAAAATCCACCTAAGGTTAGAAGGAAGAAGAAGGCGGATGTAGTGCGTCATGACGGCCACCCTACTGTGGGGCAGTTGTCTCTTAGTCGAGGTACTACCAGTACTCCTACACCAGAGAGCGCACCGGTATGGTAGGCTAATTGGAGTGATTCCATTGATGAGGATGATGATGATGACGGTGAGGCTGAGGTTGGGAATGCCCCAGATGCTGGTGATGCTGCTGGTGATGATGCTGGTGATCGTGCTGGTGATGCTGCTGGTGATCGTGCTGGTGATGCTGAGGATGGGGATGCCCCACGTCAAGCTGATTTAGGCGTGGGGAAGACGGCGCGGGTCGAGATATCTTCTACTGCCTCCTCCCACTTCCGTGGCCCCGATGGACGCTATACGTCCAGACCTAGTAGCGAGGATGGCGGAGATGGAAATAGGAAGAGGAAGACCACGAGGAAAGATATGTCGTGGTTTCTTACAGCCGAGTCTCCGATGTGTTCAGGTGGACCAGTTATTCCCGATGTGATCCCTAGCTTTGGAGGTCACATTGGTCTTGTACTATGGAATTCCCCTGAGCAGGACCGTGGAGTGTTGGACGGCTTCCATAGGCCGAAAGCTATAGAGACTTTGAGGCGATATAAGTGGAGTGCAGAGGGTTCCAAGGAGATGGTTGAAGCCACAAGATTGTTTCACTTGACAGGGTGCATGATGCAGCATTTAGACATGGCTCTACTGTCGGCATTTGTGGAGAGGTGGCAGCCGGACACAAACACCTTCCACATGCCGTTTGGAGAGATTTCGATCCTTCTACACGATGTGCATCACATTCTTCGGATACCGGTTGACGGAGAGATGATGGGAGATGAGGCGTCGCCGGATACTCTTAAGTCAGACATGGGTGGTCTAGTTCGACTTTTGGTGGATGCTTAGGTTGGTGGTAAGTGGAAGTCTAAGTGGTACGATAATGGTGCTATGCATGCAGAGGGATTGTTGGTGCGTGGGGGAGAGTTGAAGATTAAGGAGATGGAGGTGCAGTGTTACCTATTTGTGTTACTGGGATCCACGCTTTTTGTGGATAAGAGTCGTGATCGCCTTCGTCCTGCGATCAACTTGTTTCTGAAGGATCATCGACGATTGACTGATTACGCTTGGGGAGCTGGTGCACTAGCCTATCTCTACAGACAGTTGGGAGTGGCCACACGAGCGGGTAGTAAGGGTCTTTGTGGTTGTTTGACCCTGCTTCAGGCTTGGATATATGAGTACTTTCCTCTATTCCGTCCGAGTCAGCTGCCGCAGTCTCCGGATGCACCTCGTGCTTCCTCGTGGATTTCTCCCCGTTTGCCAGATGGGGATGAGGCTAGACAGAGGTTAGCACGTTATCGACAGTTGTTGGATGAGCTTTCAGCTGATGATGTGACCTGGACTCCGTACGGACGAGATGGCCACACAGATATACCCCGCTCATTGTATACTAGCCCCATTCGCTTTTCTGACATTGCTTAGGGATACGATCCTGCACGTTGTCTGCGCCAGTTTGGATACTGACAGATTATCCCCCGTGCTATGACGGTACCACATGACCAGTACCGTCCGGCTTCCGGCAGCAGTTACATAGTCTTTTGGGATCCGTGGGTGAATCAGTTGTGGGATAACGTGGCAGCCCGTCGTCTAGAGTTGGATTTTGCTTCTCGGCCGTGCGAGCACCCATCGGAGATCGTGGAGGAGTACGTTGACTGGTTTCTGACTAAATCGCACCCACGGATCACCCACCCCACTGATGGGGTGCCTCAGCCTCGACCACTACTAGTTCATCAGGTTAGTTATGACTTTCTTTTGCTTTTCCAAATATAAAGAACATTTGTTATTTATTCTAACATTGTTTTCTATTTACAGTTGAGAGAGCAGATTGTGGATCGTTTAGATCCCGTATTGCTGACGAGGGACCGGAGTAAGTGGGAGGAGGACGGTGGTAAGATCTATGACATGGTAGCTGGGGTTTTCGAGTTGTACGACTAGTTGGTAGGGCAGCCGCCTCAGTAGACGATTGTGTTTTTTATTTATCATTGTTTGTAGTTGAATTGAGACTATTGTGCTTTTTATTTGTCATCGTTTGTAGTTGAACTGAGACTATTGTGCTTTTTATTTGTCATCGTTTGTAGTTGAACTGAGACTATTGTGCTTTTTATTTGTCATTGTTTGTAGTTGAACTGAGACTATTGTGTGTTTTATTTGTCATCGTTGGTAGTCGAATTGAGACAGTTGTGTTTTTTTTTTACTTTAGTTACATTCAATGCATTGCTAAAATAGTTAATCAAGATTACTAAATGTTTCAACAATAGAGAGTTATACAATTCGTAAAATATACTTCCAATCTTCATCCCCGTGGGTTCAATCTATCATAAAGCGCACGCTCATGTAAGAAGAATTGATCCCACCCATTGACACTAGAGTGACTTTTGTATTCAACTCTCGAAATGGTTTTCCATCCGCTCGGAGCAGCTTCTTTTGTCGGGAATCCTCTAGAAGCATCCTAATTTGAAGGTGTTGAGCCTCAATGTAATCATCGTTCTTCTTGAATACCTACATACAATGAAGAACAATTAGGAGACTACTAAAACTTATGTGTGTATCAATGAAGATTTACTAGGAGACTAACCGTGTCGACTGCGCCACTAGATGATTGAAGCCACTTCTTGAAGGAGGAATGGGTAGCTTCAACCCTATTAGAGCTTGTGTTACCCAAATGCCGCAGTTGATTGGTATAACATTTAGCCCACATGTGTCTAACTGGTAACCACTCAGCTGTCATATACCCCCAAAGACGTCGGTACTGTACTCCCCAACTACGTCTGAAATTGTCTAAGGTAGTATCCATGTCTTCCACTGTCAATGCATATACAGCACGTTGCCAAGACGCCATGATATGATCCACTGTCGGTTTGGCTGCATCTATACCACAATGAGTCGTCCTTCTCACCTCCGCTAGACACTTTGCTCTCACATTCCTATCCATATGCCAAAGACATAATATATGAGTCGATGATGGAAACATTACCCCCACGGTCTCAACCAATCCTCCTGCCTTGTCACTGACAAACACATATGGAACAATGGGGCCAAGAAGATGTTGCAAATGCGTCAGAAGCCACTGGTACGACTCCTTCGTCTCGTCGTACACTATTGCAGATGCAATGACAAAGTTCAATCCCACTGGTGTCATGCCGACAATCTCAACCCAAGGCATATCATACTTATTGGTCTTGTATGTTGCATCTATCACGATCACATGGTGCCAAGCTCGCAACATCACTACTGACTCAGGGTGGGCTAGGAACAAGTGTGTAAGCACGTTACAATCGTCCATATACTGCACATAGTAACCCTTCTCCTGCGCCACGCGGAAAGTATACTGTAAGGCTGTCATCTGACCAAGCTCTTCTTTCCTTATCTTTTGCAACTCGTTATAAATCTGCTTTCTGTTGTGTGTTCCATTTGCACCTTTTCTCTCATTCACTGCCTTGTGGATATTCCTTGGTGGGACACCGGCTGATCTCAGCTCTCTAATGTATTGCTTATCCTCTGTAGTCAGAACATTCCTTCCCTTTGATCCTTCCGGAAATAGCTCCAACTGATGA